CACGGAAAAAATACACTAACAGCCACACACGTACCTTTGCAAAAGGAACAACGAAGGGAAGAAAACACACGAATATGCAGAAGGCCTATTCGCTGCATTGCCCTGAAGAGGAAATGCAACGAAAAGGCCTTCGGCATATTCGTGCGTTTTCTTGTTCTTCCCTTCCCTGTCCCTTCTGCAATTTGTTCAACACGAATCGCACACACCTTCCCCCCAGCCCTTCCCCCCAGCCCTTCCCCCTCAGCCCTTCCCCCGCCACACGGGCGCCAGACACCCACCGTGAGCTTCCGGTCCTCTTCGTCGCAAGTCTCCAAGGGCCTCGAGAACCGCAGCACAGTGTGGGTATCGTTTTGGTATCCTCCCAAAAGCTCCACGTCCTGTGACTTGTCTATCTTGGGCGTGGTGTAGTCGGTGGCAAAGCGGTCCTGTCAAGCGATGGAAATCGGCAGCAAAATGTGAGAGCGACGCCTAATACGAACCAAAATTTTACTTCACTGACAAACGTCTGTTTTTGACATGTCTTGCAGCAAGACTTAGAGCAACTGCGACGACTTACTGGCCGCATGAATTAAGAGCAACGTTGATGCCTTACAACATGGAACAAAGTAAATTTTATGACTTACTTGCAGCATGACCTTCCCATCATCTGCGACCCAGCCGAGCACGACGTCGGCGCCCTTCATGCCGCCGTTGGGGGAGAAGCCGAGGCCCACGTAGCCCTGCGTCCTCACCTGCGGACACGGACGGGCCTTCATGGTTAGCGTGTGTAGTAAGACCTTTTTAAGACTTTTCAAGACATACCAATTGCATTTTAAGACCTGAAGCCACTTGTCGCTAAATACAAACTTCCCCCTGTGTTGGCCTACGATTTTGACACAGCCTCTGGGAGAGATTGCTCGTAAGATTTTTTTCACGATCAAGGTCCAATGTTGTTGACGAACGATTTCCGATCAAGCCGCGTAGAGATCCGCGAGTGAGTGAATCGCGACGGCGTCCAAGGGTAACGGATGTATGTACATTTACGCAAACAAAAATGTGCTTTGGGCAATTGAAGTCATTTTAGGACCTGCAACAGAGAAGCTACGTTTTTGAATTTTAAGGCCTTAAGAGTTCCAGTTACTTGACATTTTAAGACTTTTTAAGGATGCGCCTGAACACTTTGAGCATGTGCGTGTGTGTGTGTGTAGTGTATGTGTGTGTGTGTTAGTGTGTGCGTGTTTGTGTGTGTGTGTCTGTGTCTGTGCATATGTGTGTTCGAGTGTGTGTGTGTGTGTGCGCGCGCGCAAGGGTATTCACAGATTTCAAATTTCAAAGAATAGAATCGGGTTTCAGATTTTAATAGAATACAGTTTCATATTTTGAAAAATAAAATAGTTTCAGATTTTGAAAAATAAAATAGTTTCAGATTTTAAAAAATAAAATCCAGTTTCAGATTATAAAAAAAAATCTAGTTTCAGTTCGAAAAATGGAACTAGTTTCAGATTAGAAGAAAAATAGAATCCAGTTTCAGAATTCGAAAAACAGAATATCCCAAATTTCGATAAACTGATTCCAATATCAGATTCTAAAAAATAAAACCCGGTTTCATATTTCGAAAAATAGAACTTCATTTCAGATTTCAAAAAAGAAAAACGGAATCCGCTTTAGATTTCGAAAAATAGAATCCAGTTTCAGAGTTCCCAAATAGAATCCAGTTTCATATTTCGACTAACAGATTCCAGGTTCAGATTTCGAAAAATAAATCCAGTATCAGATTACAAAAAATGGAATCCAATTTCAGATTTCAAAAAATCAATCCAGTTTCAGATTTTGAAAAACAAAATCCAATTTCAGGTTTTGAAAAAAAAAATCCAGTTTCAGATTTTCCAGTTTCAGATTCTGAAAAACAAAATCCAGTTTCAGATTTTGAAAAACAAAATCCAGTTTCAGATTCTGAAAAACAAAATCCAGTTTCAGATTTGAAAAACAAAATCCAGTTTCAGATTGTGAAAAAACAAAATCCAGTTTCAGATTGAAAAACAAAATCCAGTTTCAAAATCCAGTTTGAGTTTCTGAAAAACAAAATCCAGTTTCAGATTCTGAAAAACAAAATCCAGTTTCAGATTTTGAAAAACAAAATCCAGTTTCAGATTTGAAAAACAAAATCCAGTTTCAGATTGTGAAAAACAAAATCCAGTTTCAGATTGTGAAAAAACAGTTTCAGATTGTGAAAAACAAAATCCAGTTTCAGATTGTGAAAAACAAAATCCAGTTTCAGATTTTGAAAAACAAAATCCAGTTTCATATTTAAAAAATGGAATCCAGTTTCAAAAAATATAGTCCGCTCTCAGATTTCGCACAAAAGCCGCCAAGCCTCTAACCTGAACTTCGAAAAGGATCTCCTGGTCCTTCACTTCCCACAGCATGACGTAGGCCTCATCCGGGTCCAAGACCACCCGGTGCCTGAGCTCCTCGGCCGGGAGGGAGCCCGACGCGCCTGGGGGACCCGACGCGCCTGGGG